CGTGATGATGGTGAAACTGTAAGCTTTGAAATTATTCAGCTACATGAAACGAGTCAAATTCAGCTGTTAAAAGCATGCATATCTTCTTCTTGCTTTATAAAATCTTCTGCCTGCCGTTAGAAATTTCAGGGTATTACCTTGACATCAAAGAAGATTTCGATCCGATGCTTTATTTTTGTCCTAGTTGATTCTGATTTGACACTAGAAGTATGTTCTTTTTTTTTTCCCAATATCCAAATAATTGTCTGTAGATACGAATATTTGATATGATTCCATCATTAAATTTTCTTCCCTATCAACTTAAGTTTTTGGGTTCTGTGGTAACTTAACATAGTATGAGAGGTGGAAGTCTCTCGTTCAAATCCCTATATTGTCATTTCCTCCCCATCTCATTTTGATTTCTGCTTGTTGGGTCTTTTAAAAAATTTTCAGGTCCACAAGTGAGGGAAGTATTAAAGCATTCATTTTGTTCTCAATCCAAAATCAAGAAAAACAATCTTTTAAACTTTATATTATTCCTCTCTCCAAATGAGATTGTAGCGCTCTTCTTTAGCTTGGCCAAAAGTTTGCTTGCTTGATTGGAGCCATATTTTGTAGCTTGGCTCCTTTTGGGCTGGTTTTTTTGAATTCCCTTTATAATCTTTCATTTTTTTTTTTTTTTTTTTGTCAATGACGGCTCAATCTTTATATGAAAACAATAAAAAATGTGATTGTAGTTTCTAGATTTTGCATTTCCAAAAATATGTTTAATTGTAATTCTTAGGATAGCTTCTTGATCCTAAATATGTGTAATTGGGCGTGGGTTAGTATTCCGAGAACAGTAATACCTGAATCAGGTAGTTTACTTCAATTAGTACCTAACACAAAAATTACTGTAATAATAAAAAAAAGAAAGGTTCATCGACCTCAGTAGATCAATGGTAGAACAATTTTTTCTTCCTGACAAAGTACTCTCCATCAACAATAGCATGGAGATGGAACTGTGTCTTTCGCAAGCTCTGCTGATGATGTTACAGAGGTGATGAGTCTTTCACAATGTTATGAGATCTGTTCATGAAAAGATATAGATTTTTCACGACATTATCCGAGTATGGAACAGAGAGGGTATGGTTTCCACTTGCTAGCCCACTATTTAAATTTAGGAAAGTGGGTTTGTACAAATACGGATGGTTTAGATGAATATTGCAAAATATGGTAATGGAGGGATGATGGGTCTTTCTGTTTCACGAGCTAGCTTATTAATTTGATTGTGGAAATGGGTTTTATGATGCTGCATTATATCTTGTTCGGTTTGGAATGGCATTTATTCGTTTGTCATCCTTTTGTCAACATATTAAATTATTTGGCATTCAGGTCGCGATGGAGACAGAGGGTTTTGCTATCTATGATGCTATGATGCAGTTAAAAAACGAGGTGTGTTTTCTTGTGAAACCATTCCGTTCATTCCTACTATTCTTTTGCTGGCAAGATGACAACTAGATGCATTGTGGAGTCCGGAATTACTGGTTAATCTCATTGATTGGTATCTTAGTGTAAGTTATCACTGCACCTAGGGTATGGACTCTCTGGTCATGTCCACATATGGTAGGCACTTAAAATTTCTAGTGTTGTAGGTGCAACAACTGGCCTGAGAAATGACATGCTGATTGACCTCTTTTGCTCCAGACTAATAATTTTAATTTTGTAAAAAAGATTGAAAGAAAATATTTCTGTAATGTAGGTAGTGTCCTTGGAAATAATTATGCTTTTGTTGTTTGAATCTCTTGCTGGTTTTGTGAAAATTTTATCATCTTTCCATTTGTAAAACATGATACCAAATATCTCATACAGATACACACATTGACTGTCGGAGCTGCCATAGGTCAAGCTTGTCTATTGCTTGCTGCAGGAACTAAAGGCAGACGTTTTATGATGCCACATTCCAAAGGTTTGATGCTTTTGGCACGTTACTTTCTGTTTTTGAATTGGTAACTATACTTTCTCGTATAGAATAATCAAATTTTCCCTCGAATTCATTCCAGCCATGATACAGCAGCCTCGTGTCCCTTCATCTGGTTTGATGCCTGCTAGTGACGTTCTGATTCGCGCAAAAGAGGTCCAGATCCTTCTATTGCTTGATAATTTATTTGAAGTAGAACTCAGTTTCTATGACACTGATTTTTGATGGAGCTCTTAGCACTTCGATTCAAGTATTCGAAAAGGAACTATTCAAAGTCTCAATCAAGTAACCACAGTTATTTATTTTATTTTTTTGCAATGACGATTTGCACATCGTCATATATCGAGTGAATTGGAATTAACTGGTAGATTTGTATCTTATTCCCAAAAAGTTTCAAGGGAATTTCCCCCTTACAAGGATATAAGTTGAGCTGTGTATTTCATCTCGTCTTTCAGGTGATAACAAACAGGGACACACTAGTGGAACTCCTAGCAAAGCACACTGGAAATGTAAGCCTAGACAACATTTGTTTCTACTTTTTTCTATGAACTCCAGACACGACATTCCATATAATTCCTTATACAATCTTAATATTGTCAGTCACTAGAGACAGTAGCTAATGCGATGAAAAGACCATTCTACATGGACGCAATAAAAGCAAAAGAATTTGGAGTTATCGACAAGGTAAATTAACGCACAGATTTTTTTTTTTTGGGTTGTAACACGATGCGCTTGCCTCGTTGCTTATGCCTGTAGATTATAAATCTAAGTTGGCAATATGTCTCCAGATTCTTTGGCGAGGTCAGGAGAAGATTATGGCTGAAGTGGCTTCCCCGGAGGATTGGGACAAAGGAGCTGGCATCAAAGCTGTTGATGAACTCTAAATCCCCTCTCAGATCTACTCTTCATTCATAGCAAGTAAGCCTATTGTTTCTCCTTTTTGCAAACTCAAATGCCTTGTTCTTTTTTTCAGTATTCAACGTGCAGATGTGTTGTAAAGCCAATAGAATTTAATCATTCCTTTTGAAAGCATGGTTTCATTGGAATTGAAATTTGTGGTAGAATGAGAAGCATAATTTTGTTTGTACAAGGTGTCTCCCATCTCCCTCGGGCATAGATGCGTAATATCATTTAGTTCTTAAAGTGAGGAAATATTTGCTTAGCTCAGTTGAAATCTTTAACAATAATACCATCCCAATTATGTAAAATATGAAGCCTCCTGCAAGTTTTTTGACCCAAGGGTTCTCTTATTTTCTCTTATGGATGATAGAGACGATATTGATGATAGTGATATTGATGATAGTGGCGATACTGATGATAGCGACGATATCGAACGTGGCCGTGAAATGGAGCTGGAGTTTCTAACTATGACGAATGTGTCACTAACTATGGATAGTCTGCTGGAAACAGACTGATTTTATATCATCCTTCGATTCAGGTAAGCTAAAGCAATGTCTCTGGCACAATATTGATTTCAAATATACGGTGGAAATTATGGAGACATGTATTTAGACAGTTTTCTAGGTGTTAAATTAGAATTTCTCATTTTCTCTAAAGCGTTAAAAAAATTCCTATTTAACTTTCGAAGTGATACAAAAAGAAAAAAGAAAAAGGAATAAAGATATGATCAAACTTTTCTTTAGATGCAACAACAAACCATCTTTTAATGCATTTCTCCATTGGTAATATTGATTAAGATTGGACATAGGTTAGTTTATTCACTTTTTTTTTCTGTTATTTATTGGTCATATTTTGCTAATTATATTCATTAATTATCGACTTAATACTGGTTAAAGTGGTTTAAAATTTTAAAATTTAGGAATTAATAATTTTAATAGGTAATTTTTCAAAAGCTAATATCTTTTACTTTAATATTAGTTTTCTAGAGAAAATTATAGAAAAAGAATTATTATATAGTATTTAAAAGAGTCGGCCATTGGCAAATTCACACGTGGCATTTATTGATTTGTTAGTTGCTACTAATTGGGCTTGCATTAAAGGAATTGTTCAAAAAACGCGGTTTTCCCAATTTGCCAAAAAAAAAAAAAAAAAAAGATAATTTTATTTATTTTTATTCCTTTTATCCCATTCCCCATATTAATGAAGATATGGTTATTTTTCATCCCTGGAGTTTTAATGTAATTAATTGAAGTTAGTGGTGCTCAAGTACGTGTAAAGAAATATAATTTTTTTTTTATTATCATGAACTCGAACTATAATTAAGTCGGTAATTATTACGTTAATTATGGATCGATTTTAAAAATTGATTTGTTATAGATTAAAGAAATGTAAAAGTCTTCACCGGAGATATGAGTTGATTATAAAAAATTCTAAGGAAAATTACTTATCGTACATTAATGATTGAAAAAGATGCTTTTTTGAATGTTCCAATCGAGAATGTTTGGAAAACATAAAAAGTTTCCATTAGTATCTCTATAGAAAATGGTTCGTGAACGAAACCACTTGAGGGTGTTTTTCTTCTTAACACATAAAATTTGAACATTTCTCACAAATTAGTTGAAAATATTGCACGTGACTCAATTTTTTCATCTAACGCTTCGAATAGAATTTTTCGCGTTCGAAATTGGGTATGTAAGGTCTAGTTGCAGGTTTTTATAGGTCTTAATACAATCTCTAATGGGTATGTATGTAAGGTCTAGTCGCGTTCATATTTGCTTCGAAAATCATTTTTCATTCAAGTTTGGGTCATAAAATTTCATACATGATCCATGATCGAGATCTCAAGTAGATTTTTCTGTGGGAATATTCATCAAGGAGGATTCTCAAATTCTCAAATTCTCATTTTTAAATGAAGATTCTTGGTGAATTTGAATCTTTCTAAAAGAGAATATTTATTAATTTATAGACTTATCGGATTGGTATGAACTATGAACATTTAGTCCTTGGGGAAATTCGTAGTAATAATGGAAACCAATTCAGAACAGAACACATTCCATGTCCAAATTCCAAATTCCAAATCATGCTGCGTGCGTCAATTTGCTATCCTGCGCGGGTCAGCCATCATTTGAAGATTTCAACTAGAAAAAACAGATGCAAGATAAAGGAGAAACTCCTTATCCCTAAAGTCCATCCATCTTCAGAGCTTGATTCTATCAAATTTGTCTGTAAATATCTCTCTCTCTAGTGCCCGAGGTTGTGTGAATCGGAATCATTCGTGTAATCGTTGCTTGGCTGCTTTGTGTTGACCTATTTTTGATACTCTTTCCATCCAGGGGGCTTTTCTTCTTGTTCTTCTTGTTCTTATTCTTCTTGTTTTGTTGTGTGGATTCATTGTTTCGACTTTGATTTGATTCTCTCGTCTCTTTTGAAGAGTTGGGTGTTTAATTTTCTCCAATTTGGAGGATACCCTTTTGATCTTCCTTCGACTTGAAACAGCCAATATTCATTTCCCCTCTTTTGAAGACCCAAATTCCTTCTATAAACAGGTTAAGTTGAGCCATTAGAGGAAGTTCTAGGGCTTTCTGGTGTGAATCTTGGAGGAGACTGTGTAGAAGAAGGATGATGACAATGGAAGGAATGGAAAAGGGGGTTTTGGATGACATAATTAGAAGGCTGTTGGAAGGTAGAGGCGGCAAACAGGTTCAGCTTTCAGAGGCTGAAATCCGCCATCTCTGTGTCAACGCCAGGCAAATTTTCCTCTCTCAACCAAATCTCCTCCGCCTTAATGCTCCTATTCGTATCTGTGGTAAGTTTGATTCTCTCTCTTCTTCTGTTTCTTTCATTTCTGGATTGTAATGTTTTCTAATGCTGCTTTGGACAATCTTACCTAAGTCTATGGTTAATTGTAGTTCAAATTGTTGCTTCAACGTATGGCTTGGGATTTTGATTAGCTTGAGTTTCTGGAATTGTAGTTCAAGTTTGTATGATCTTTATTTGGTTTATGAGACTATGATTTGAAAGAGTTCGTGTACACTTTGGTGGGTTTTAAAGGTTTTCGTGTTTGGAGTTGGTAGAATCGACAAACTGGTACTCGGTAGGCTCGATCTATGTTTGTTTTGCGCTTAGAGTTAACATATGGTTCAGTGTGGCTTGCAAATGCTTAGGCTATGGAGTTGGTAGAATCAACAAACTGGTACTCGGTAGGCTCGATCTATGTTTAGTTTGCGCTTAGAGTTAACGTATGGTTCAGTGTGGCTTGCAAAAGCTTCGGCTATGGAGTTGGTAGAATCGACGAACTGGTACTCGGTAGGCTCGATCTATGTTTAGTTTGCGCTTAGAAATGAAATGATGCCATGATTTTGATGGAGTTTTGATACAATTTTCTTCTTTTGGTTTGGTATTTGAGCTTTCTTGTATAAACTACGAAACGAGCTTGAAATGATGAATAAACGACGTCCAATTCTTATGAATTATAACGTTATTTCATATGCTGCCTCTTGTTAAATCTGTGCTCTGCTGGGTGTTTCCAGGTGATATACATGGTCAATACAAAGATCTTCTTAGACTATTTGAATATGGTGGGTACCCTCCTTCTGCAAATTATCTTTTTCTTGGCGATTATGTCGACCGAGGGAAGCAAAGTTTGGAAACGATATGTTTACTTTTGGCGTATAAAATAAGACACCCAAATAAAGTATTTCTCTTGAGAGGGAACCACGAAGATGCAAAGATCAATCGAGTCTATGGTTTCTACGATGAATGTAAAAGGAGGTTTAACGTTCGGCTTTGGAAAATATTTACTGATTGTTTCAACTGCTTGCCTGTGGCTGGACTTATTGATGGTAAGATCCTCTGTATGCATGGAGGACTATCTCCAGATTTGAAAAGTTTGGATCAGATTACGCAACTTCCAAGGCCTACCGAGATCCCCGACAACGGTCTTCTATGTGATCTGCTTTGGTCTGATCCTGATCCTAGCATTCAGGGATGGGCAGATAGTGATCGGGGCGTTTCTTGTACTTTTGGATCAGATCGAGTGGTTGAATTCTTAGATAAGAATGACCTCGATCTCATTTGTCGTGGTCATCAGGTAAAATGCTCTTCCCTGAAGTTTAATACCAATTCTTTATATCCGTTTCTATTTCGAGGTGTTGACAGTGTGCATTTTGTTGAAGTTCATCGAGATTGTTAACGTGCACGAGTATAAATTGCAAATATTTCCATCTTTCATTTTGTTATCATCGTTACGAAAATCGTTCTTGTGATCTAACAACTAGGATGCCCTGGAAGTTGTCTATGATTCAAATACAGCAGTCTATTTGGTTGTCTTGTGTAATTCGTTTCGAAATTGTTACGGTTTCGAGCATCTCAGCTCTCTCATTCGCTTTGTGCTTCGTAGTTCTTACCCAGCTCTTTAGATTTTTGAGTTCTTTTCATTTTATTACACAGGTGGTGGAGGATGGGTATGAATTCTTTGCCAAAAGAAGGTTGGTGACCATATTTTCTGCTCCGAACTACGGCGGAGAGTTCGACAATGCAGGTGCTCTATTGAGCGTTGATGAGTCTCTAGTTTGTTCATTTGAAATATTGAAACCCGAGCAAAGAGCAGAAGGAAGCAGTTCGGGAATAATTCTTAAGAAGGTACGATACCGAACAAGCGAACATCTTCATCTGCCATTTTCCATTCGTTTTCGGTCTAGCATTGTTAAGACTGTTGTATTGAAAGTTCTGTATCTTTTGTTGAACAGCCTCCCAAACTTGGAAGAACTTGATTACTTGGAGGAGTTCCTTGTCAATCCTTAGAAGATGAAAATCAAGCTCGAGCGGTGTTGGGGACGACAGAGTCGTTCGTGTTCTGCACTTCATAGTTTTTAAGATTGTAATGACCATGTCGGAGGTCTGTCGATCGAAGCTGTAAAAATCGAGTATGTCCCCGTCCCGGGTGGTAGATTTGAATGGTCTCCAATGGCTTCGCTAATTGGAGTGCAGAAGGTGTGTGTGTGTGTGTAAAGATGAAAGCAAATGGTTCGTCCTGAAATGACTTAGAAAGAGATTGCTTCTTCCATGGTGATCATAAGTGATTGAGTGAATTTCTAATGTTATAATATCCGGTTCAAATCTCTCCATTTTCTGAATTAAAAAATAATAATTAAAACTAAATTAATAATAATACTATTTTATCTCAAAAATACTTTTAAACCTTTAAAAATTTTCAAAAATATTTTTGTTTCAAAAATATATAATATATTTCGAGTCAAAAAAATATTCCTACATTTAAAAAATATTTATGAAAATTTAAAATTAGCAGTACCGTCCTTTGTTTCTTAAAAAAAAAAAAAAAAAAAAATCTTACTNCATTTAAAAAATATTTATGAAAATTTAAAATTAGCAGTACCGTCCTTTGTTTCTTAAAAAAAAAAAAAAAAAGAAATCTTACTGTCAATATATAAATGATAATGACACTTTATAGATTATTTTTAAACTTTTTAATAAAAGTTTAATAAAAAGTTTAAGGATATGGGTCGTGAGGGAATATATAGAATATGGTAAATTTCTCTTGGCCTTTTTCATCTCCATTCAGTCTCGTGAATATCTGGTAAATTCCTCTTGGCCTTTTTCATCTCCATTCTGTCTCGTGGACATCTCTAACTATAGCAGGGGAAAATTCCTCTTAGCCTTTTTCATCTCCTTTCTGTCTCGTGGACATCTCTAACTATAGCAGGGGAAAATTCCTCTTAGCCTTTTTCATCTCCATTCTGTCTCGTGGACATCTCTAACTATAGCAGGGGAAAATTCCTCTTAGCCTTTTTCATCTCCTTTCTGTCTCGTGGACATCTCTCTAACTACAGCTAACTATAGCCTAATCTGTTATAAGGGACATCCAACGAATATGGAGGTGTGAGGGAATACCTGGAATATGCTACATTCCTCGCAACTCGCAGCGCTCCGCACGGTTCCATGAACATATCTCTAGATATAGCTATGGTAGACATCCTATGAATGTGGAGACCGGGGAGAATATCTGGAACTTGCTATAAATGTCTTTTGATCATAGTTTTGGAAAAACAACAAAAGTTTGTTGAACAAACACAGTAAACATTCAAGAATTTCCATCTGAAACTGTAACAAAAACTGTGTTGGATGATCCAACGTCCCACCATTCTCCAAAGAAACAGGAAGGGGAAGAAAGCAATCAAATAAATATCAAAACTACATTACAGAATTCACCCAAGTTAAAGAAGCTGCTTCATCACTCCATATCAACAAACTGTTATGCTCACCAAAATTCTTTAGGAGATTAATCTTAATACACTATTCAAGAGAAATTATCACATTATCCAGTTCTTCCTACAATTGTACAACTACATATAACTCCATTGTTATCTTCTTTCTTTCATTCAAATGGAAGAGCAACCATGGCTGCTACTTTTCAAGCATCAGAACTTGTTGGACAGCTGAGTCTTTTTTTTTTTTTTTTTTTTTTTCTACAAATGGTGAACCTCAATGAATATAAGCGGGAGAAGACGAGTACAACGAAGAGACGAGTGAAAAAGCATCGAAGGTCTGATTTTTCCTTTTTCTTTTAAAAGAAAGTTAATGGAAAAGAGGCATAGTTTACCTCATAAATTGGCATAGGTGTCAGTCATCTTCTACTTCCTCTCCTGATTCCTTGAGTACCAAGAGAACTCGGACTCATATTTGCTTCAATTTTCTTCGTTGCTCGTTGAATAGCGGCATATTTCTGGCGCTGGCTATGACTTTGCCTTTTGCTGCATTATATACAATATAAGAATAGAACAGATGAAAAAAAAAAAAAGGTGCTAGAACATTTTGGGTCTTTAACTCCTTCCTTTCCACCTTTTTGTTTCAATAATGTTTTTGAAATCGAAGCCAATTTGAAAACTGAGACAATAGCTTTTAAAAACTTATTTTTGTTTTTCGAATTTTTCGAAGAATTCAAATGTTTACGAACGAGGAACTATGACTAAGAAATTATGAGAAAACAAGCACAATTATCTTATAGAAGCTAAAACCAAAAGCATAGCGATCAACAAACTTATAAAACGGACTGTATTCAAGTCTTGGAAAATAAAAGACCATGTAATGAAGATGTTTAGATTCCCCAACCTTGCAAACAGAAGCCCTGCTGAAAACACCATGGACCCGATCAGCCACGAAACCCGTTCATGAAAACTCATTTCTTTCACCCATTGCTGGAAAGCCTCCCAGAAACCCAAGTAACCTGTTCTTTGTGATGACACTACAGATGGTGAAGTCTTCCACGAATTAGCAATGGAGTCTAGTCTGGCTTTACTACCATAGCAAGAGGCTTCTTCATCAGAAATTTTAACTGAAAAACCTGCAGCGCTGCAAAGCTCCGTGCCATTCGAGACCCATTCGGAAGCCCTGCCACACACAAAGTCATTCACTCCACATGGTGCTAGAACCTGAACCATAAAATCTAATCAGGAAGTATTCTTATTCTCGCCTTGCGGCCAAGGCTCAAGTTCATACTTCTACTTCTCGTTAGTTAAAAGAAAATCGTGCATGAAGAAAAATGGTAAAAACAAACTAATATAACTTCAATGAATTTCCAACCATATTATGTTGTGAAAATAACAATAAAAATTACACACCATCACACATGAAAGTCAGCCTAACGCATCAATTTCATTCCTCAACTGAACATTGTGTTTAATTAGTCCATAAAGTTAATAGCATTAATGGAATACAAATGAGGCCTGCCTATCAGATAAACATCTACTGAGTTGGAATGATGTGCTAGACAACTAAATAGGCTGATGGTATGTCAATGTCAATGTTTTGTCGATGGCATTCAAAGAACATACTAAATAGAAGCATAATCCTAAGTTCAAGAATTAAATACGCATGTTGTTACTGCTTAGAGACCAGATTTAAAGCTAATCCAAAGTTTTACCAGTAATTAGACATATTTTCCCTTTTTCCTTGTAAAATGAGTGTCAAGATCTATGTGCCATCAAGACGATCAGTTTTAGAAACCTCGTTGGTCAAGGTTATTTCATACTCCAAACCTCTTTGTGTAAGGCATAACCAGCCAAAAAAAAAAAAAAAAAAAAAAATGCTCACCTGCATTTTAGCATCAACAGAAAAGTAAGCATCAGAGCAAGCTTTGAAGACTCTGTTGCAGAAAGAGGCACATATTAGAGGAGGTCCCGGTCGAACGCCAACTTGTGGATCACAAATTGAGCACTCCAGAAGTTCCCATAATTGCAAGCATTCTTGGTTGCCTTCCCCTGTCGAAGCCAGCCTCCTAACAGAAAGCAAAGCCGCGTGCGTTTGGGCTACACCACAGCAAGTCCTCTTTCGGAAGACTCGACAAAGCGTCAAATCTTGTGCTTTGCTAACCTTTTTCGGAGGTTTTCCTTCCAATGAGAAGGGTGGGAAACGACCACCTTGCGAAATGCAGACATCATTTGATTCACCTACAAGAAAAACACAATTTGTAAATCAAGTCCTATTTGCAACAAAAAAGAAGAGGTAAATTAGTATTCCTTACAATCCATACGTTAACTATTAATGTGATACAAGTCATTCCCTGTATAAAGTAGAAAAGAAATGAAAAATTCTACATAGCTATGTCTACCAAACCAAATTACAAATACGCATGGAAGTGAAGCACTGAAAAATAGATTCTTAATTCAATATGATGAAAAGAAAAAGACTTATTCAACTTAGATATGAGACAAACATACAGCCAAGTTCATCCAAACTCATACAACCAAGTCAACCAATAAATTCACATGAAAGAAGAAACTGCCATAAAGTTTTGTGTTCTACAAGAAAAGAAAATTCTTCACTCACCGATCAATACTCATTGATAGAAGGCTGATTCCAGAGATTTAGAAAAACAACCATGTTTCCAGATATGAAACAAAAGAGTTGATAAATTGGAAAGAAAAACATCTAATTTGTCAAAAAATTACACAAAATAAGGAATCAAAAACTTCATTGCATCCAAAAAATCTCGTAAGATCAGAGCGCAACTCGCAGAGTCAAAACCCAGCAGCAATCTCCGGAAATCAGGCACAACAATCAAAATAAACACCTAATTTATTTCAATTCGACACGATTATGAATCATTTTGTAATGAATCTAAAATGAAAACAGGACTCGTAAAGAAACTATGTTGCAGAACAGTCGAAGAAGGGAATCGCGGAAGAAAGAAAATCAGTTTACCAGATGAAAAGGGAAGCAGCAGATTGAAATTTAGCAGAATGAATAAGTGCCAAATATTTATATTATTCGTCCTTTGCGCCATTTTTGAACTCCTTCGGTGCAAATTCCAATTCACAGACTCGAAGAAAGAAGACGATGCTTGGATTTGCAGAGGGACGGACTTTCTCTGGTGCTGACGGATACTCAACAACCGGTCCTTTTCTGTCCATTGGGCCCAAGCCCAACGAAAATAGTTTGGGCTTAATTGGTTGAGACCCATGGGATTTGGGCTTTTTACCGTAATGGGCCCAATCTTACTAATTTACATATTTGTTATAATTTAATGGGCTTTTTACTAATTTACCCTTAATTTTAAGGATTTTTTTTTTTAAAAAATCCCCATACCATTAGTTAAAAAAAAAAAAAAAAATCCTTAAATTTTACAAAATATATAAAAAATTAGTTTAAAGGTGGTTATTGATACTCTCGATTGAAAGAAATTATAAAAATACTATTTAAGTTTCAAAAATTTCATTGATACCAATAAACTAAAAAAAAATATTAAAAATACTTTTATATCAGTATATAAATGAAACAGTTGGTATCTCATTTTAAAAAAATACCCGTAAACTTTTAGAAGTAACACGAGTAACCTTAATCTCTCCAAAAAAAAAAAAAAAAAAAAAAATTTAAAAAGTTTGGACAAAACATTTATTACATTTTATTGATCATCTCACTCTTCAATTTCTTTTCTCTACTATGTTTGAGACCCAACAATTACTCATTTCTCATATTTGTTCTATTGTTTTTTTTTTTTACCATTTTCTTTGAAGCTATCTTGAGTCGGGAAAGAACCTGTTATGAAACTCTTGGGATTTCATTCAAAGTGATTTAATAACTTTGTTAAAGAAGAAACCTTTAGATCTAAATTATCTAAGAACTCCAAGAATGATAAGGAATCAACCTAAAGAAAATTTATCAAGATTAGAAGTAAAGTAAACTCGTTTCTAAACTTATGATTCGAGTCATTCAACAAGATAATTTGATTAAGGTTACTCGAATGACTCAACAATTTATAATTTCTTGTACTCGAAAAGTACCGACGACACTTAACTAGGATTTCTAAGAATGGGGAAGGAAAAAAGAGAAAAGGATGAGAAGGAGGAAAAATATTTCAGCAAATCAGAAGATATTAGGGATGCTTTAATCATCAGAGTGGATAGTCCAATTGAATTCTGGATTTTGGATTCACGTGTATCTTTTCATTCGTCTCAAAATAAAGAGTTGTTCTGAATTTCAAGTCTGAAAGTTTGGAGGAGGCGTATCTTACTGACAACAAAGCCTTGAAGATTGATGGAAAGAGGGATGTCTACATAAAAACTCGCACAAGAAATCAATGGATATCAAAGGATGTTAGATATAATCCTTGTCTCCAGAAGAACCTAGTCTCTATTGGTCAATTGGATAACACAGATTATGTAATGGAGTTTGGAAAGAATTTGTGGAAGATTGTGAAGGTTGTTACGGTGGTAGCACGTGGCACAAAATCTAGAACCTCATGCACCAATGCAGAGTGTATGAACATGGTTGCTGTTGCTGAGAGTGCTTCAAAATCAAGTCTATCTCCTTGCATGTCTCTCTCCTATTTCTTTGGGTTCATATTGATCGAATATGTGCGCTATTGTGCGATCCTAACAGAAAGTACAACGACCGTCATGCACCATGCCAAGCATGATGGTCATTTCAGTCTCATAGTGAACGCGCTTATCATAAAAGAGAAGTATCCGATGTACGTGAATATACAATTATGCATGAGGTCCCCATACTTTCTATCATAAATAAATCATGCAGATTAACTCGTATCATTCCTCACATGCTACACTCGCTAATATGCATGCACAAACTTTCATAAATCATTTCATTCATAACATAACTTTTACATCATAGCTTAGGGGTTGTGAATTGTAAAATTCCTCATTTTAATACATATCATAGCATGTTATAACGTGTCGATGCCAAACATATTCATATCATAGTATATTATAGCATTTCATATCATAACATTTTCCATCGTAATATGAATTTACATTTCATTTATAACACTATGTTATTTGGCATATCTTGGCCTATCATAAAGCATATCATAAAACAACACATATCATATCATAAGATATATCACATATATGACACGTGCAGGGTCACTGGACACGTATCATCATACATCAAACAATTCTTCCGACCGATAGTTGAACCACTTATTAGTCCGCATCTTCACAGACATGTCTATTTCACTGAGCCTCTCTAACTTAAACTTATTTCTAATAATTTAAACTAACCTAATTTTACATACAATAATTTAAACCTGGTTTTAATAATTTAAACTAGCTAAAACTAAATTTGCATAAAATAATTTAAACTTCGGCTCCAAATAATTTAAACTAGCTAAAACTAAATTGGCATAAAATAAAATAATTTAAACTTGGCTCCAAATAATTTAAACTAGCTAAGCATAATTTTGCATAAAATAATGCAAACTTGACTCTAAATAATTTAAACTAGCTAAACTTAATTTTACATAAAATAATATGTAAACTTGACTACAAAAATTTTAAACTAATCAGCTAAAATGTTGTCATACTAACCTTAAAGCTTACGAAGAGTTGAAACTAGTAGAAAATGGTCCGAGCGTATCAGACCTAAGCCGAATCAGCCGAATTATCAGTCTGGAGTTCACATTTGAACTCATATTACTTAATGCATAGTTCATATTCGAACTCCACTCAATTAAAAATTATTGAATGCCCCAAAATTCATGAAAATAAAAATTAGAAGTCACATATAACGAACCATTTATCTTTGTATTGACATCGTAGAAGACCTCCGAAAACTTTACACAAGATTTTTTCAATCATCAATGGTTGTGACTGTATAATTTTGTTTCCATTATTGATTTCTTTGAAGTACTCAACGTAATCTAATTCTTCCTCTAGTTGGAAGGGTTTGTCAAATTGTAAGGCATGATTAAGCGTTAAATAAGTGAAATTTCATTTAGTTGCCACATCCAAGCAAACAAGTGTTTTACATTCAATTTTTTCTTGTTCAACACAATCTATAAAACTTTGTAATCTCTCACCGGATGATCTAACATAACTAGAAATGGAGTCATGTATTTTTTTTAAGCTCCTCATTCACAATTATGTTAGTTACGTGCGCACAACACCTCATGTGTAATATATCTCCATCCAAGACAAGTGAATTCTAACTTCAAATCCTTCTCGTAATATTCAAAATATTTATATCATTGAAACTTGCATTATCAATTGCGATAGAGAAAACTGTAGCGATCCTTTCCATTCCAATAAACAATAGTCAATGATCTACGGCTAAGTTTGTAACTTAGATTTTTGAAATCAAACCGATCAAGTGTTTATTAAGTTTCTTTTTACTTTTAACTTAGTATTCAATAGTCAATCTTTTAATTTTATGTCTCATAAATTTAACTTTCATTTTCATTTGTGTCTGATAGATATTTCATCTATCCTAAAAAATGTTTAAAATTCACATTTATTTTAAATTTATAAACCCAAAAGCGTTTTATTTCTTTTCAAATAATATTTGAATTTATATTTCCTAAAACAAAACTAATAAAAATTAAAATCTAAAAAGGAATCCAAGTTGGAATCCTATCCTTAAAAGGATTAGGAAAAGATAGTAAGCTATAAAACCAAACCTCTCACCCTTCCACCATTCAACAATTCCAATTGCAATTCAGAAGTCCTTCAACAATGGCGGCTTCCACCAAATCTCCTTCCTCTATCGTTCTTGCTGTTCTTCTTGTTCTTCTTTCAGTTCTTGGCTGTCCTTCATCCAAAGCCCATCTACTCAAAACTTGTATGTTCGACGCTATTTACCAACTCGGCGATTCAATTTCCGACACCGGAAATCTCATTCGTCAAAACCCCAACACCCCATTTTCTCATCTTCCTTACGGTGAAACGTTCTTCAACAAATCCACTGGTCGCTGCTCCAATGGTCTTCTTATGATCGATTACTTTGGTATCCCTTCCTTTTAACCTTTTATTTTACTAATATTCCCAAGCCCCCCAAATTGGTGTCTAATGTTATGCCATATTCCCCTTTCAATTTGCAGCTTTGGATGCTGGACTTCCCTTGGTGAACCCTTATTTGAACAAAGATGCATCGACAAGGCATGGTGTGAATTTCGCAGTGGCTGGTTCTACGGCTTTGTCTTCTCAACTTCTTTCTCAAAACCAAATCTTGTCTCCGGTCACCAACTCTTCTCTCAACCAACAACTTTATTGGATGTTCTCTCATTTCAACTCCATTTGCTACCATCAAACAGGTTTCTAATTTCTCTCCAATTAATTATATTTTCTTTTATATATCTTCATTTTAATTTGTATTATGCTCCTATCTTATAGATTGCAATGAGAAATTAAGGAATGCTTTGTTCTTGGTGGGCGAGATCGGTGGGAACGATTATAACTATGCGTTGTTCCAAGGAAAAACTATTCCAGAGGTGAAAGATATGGTGCCCCAAGTTGTTCAAACCATAAAAAGCGCCGTTGAGGTAATTTTGGGTATATATTTAACTTCTTCAATTAGGGTTTTTTTTTTTACTTATCTCTGACGTTTTTTGTGTGCAGAAAGTGATAAGCTACGGAGCTACTCGAGTTGTTGTTCCTGGAAACTTTCCAATCGGATGTTTACCCATCTACCTAACTGGATTCCAAACTAATGATACAACTGCTTACGATGAACTTCATTGTTTGAAAGATTTGAATGGCCTGGCTACTTATCACAATGATCAAATCAAGCAAGCTATTGAAGTGCTCAAGAGAGAGAATCCACACACCATAATCGTATATGGTGACTACTATAATGCATTGTTGTGGATCCTTCGTCGTGCTTTTACACTCGGTATGGTTTTCTTAATTATTATTAGCTTAATACAAAGGAATTGATATCTTAATCATTGACGTTTGTTGTATTTAGGGTTTGATGAAACTTCTTTGCAAAAATCATGTTGCGGGATTGGAGGAGACTACAACTTCAGCCTCATGAAGATGTGCGGAGTTGGAGTATCAGTTTGTTCAAATCCAGATGAACGCGTTAGTTGGGATGGAATCCATTTAACTCAAAAGGCTTACAAATTCATGGCATAT